TTCACACCTTCTCATCTTCACATCTTCTCATCTTCACATCTTCTTATCTTCACATCTTCTCATCCTCACATCTTCTCCTCATCTTCTCATCTTCACATCTTCTCATCTCCTCATCTTCTCATCTTCACATCTTCTCATCTTCACATCTTCTCATCTTCACATCTTCTCATCTTCACATCTTCTCACATCTTCTCACACCTCCACTCACATCTTCTCACATCTTCTCACATCTTCTCACATCTTCTCACATCTTCTCACATCTCTCACATCTTCTCACATCTTCTCACATCTTCTCACATCTTCTCACATCTTCTCACATCTTCTCACATCTTCTCACTTCTTCTCACATCTTCTCACATCTTCTCACATCTTCTCACATCTTCTCACATCTTCTCACATCTTCTCACATCTTCTCACATCTTCTCACATCTTCTCATCTTCACACCTTCTCATCTTCACATCTTCTCATCTTCACATCTTCTCATCCTCACATCTTCTCCTCATCTCCTCATCTTCTCATCTTCACATCTTCTCATCTCCTCATCTTCTCATCTCCTCATCTTCTCATCTTCACATCTTCTCATCTTCACATCTTCTCACATCTTCTCACATCTTCTCACATCTTCTCACATCTTCTCACATCTTCTCACATCTTCTCACATCTTCTCACATCTTCTCATCTTCACACATCTTCTCACATCTTCTCACATCTTCTCACATCTTCTCACATCTTCTCACATCTTCTCACATCTTCTCACATCTTCTCACATCTTCTCATCTTCACATCTTCTCATCTCACATCTTCTCCTCTTGCCCTCTTGCCCTCTTGCCCTCTTGCCCTCTTGCCCTCTCCTTCTTTTCTATTTCTCTTTTGAAGGCGGGAGCAGGGGCAGTGCCAACGAGACGGCACGAAACGCAACCGTTTCGCACGAAATGAGGGTCGATCGTCCAAAACTGAGGTAAAATTGCGATTTTACTTGTGCCGGAGCAACGCTTTCGCAGGAAATGAGGGTCGATCGTCAAAAACTGAGGTAAAATTGCGATTTTACTTGTCCCGGAGCAACCCTTTCGCACGAAATGAGGGTCGATCGGCAAAAACTGAGGTAAAACTGCGATTTGACTTGTCCTGGAGCAACCCTTTCGCAGGAAATGAGGGTCGATCGTCAAAAACTGAGGTAAAATTGCGATTTTATCGGCAAAAACTGAGGTAAAATTGCGATTTGACTTGCCCCGGAGCAACCCTTTCGCACGAAATGAGGGTCGATCGTCAAAAACTGACGGAAAATTGCGATTTGACTTGCCCCGGAGCAACCCTTTCGCACGAAATGAGGGTCGATCGGCAAAAACTGAGGTAAAATTGCGATTTGACTTGCCCCGGAGCAACCCTTTCGCACGAAATGAAGGTCGATCGGCAAAAACTGCAGTAAAATTGCGATTTTACTTGTCCTGGAGCAACCCTTTCGCACGAAATGAAGGTCGATCGGCAAAAACTGAGGTAAAATTGCGATTTTACTTGTGCTGGAGCAACCCTTTCGCACGAAATGAGGGTCGATCGGCAAAAACTGAGGTAAAATTGCGATTTTTCGTGTGCTGGAGCAACCCTTTCGCACGAAATGAGGGTCGATCGGCAAAAACTGAAGTAAAATTGCGATTTTTCGTGTGCTGGAGTAATCCTTTCGCAGGAAAAGGGGTTTGTGTGTACGAGCGTTTCTGTGTAAAGATGTTTGTGTGTAAAATTGTTTGTGTGTGTACAAGTGCATCTGTGCAGAAGTCTTGTGTGCAAAACCTTCTGTGTGTAAAAGTCTTTGTGTGTAAACGGGTTTGTGTGTACGAGTGTTTCTGTGTAAAGATGTTTGTGTGTAAAAGTGATTGTATGTAAAATTGCATCTGTTTAAACGTGTTTGTGTGTAAAAGCTTCTGTGTGTAGAAGTGTTTGTGTGTAAACGTGTTTGTGTGTCGGAGTGTTTCGGTGTAAAGATGTTTGCGTGTAAAAGTGTTCGTGTGTACAAGTGCATCTGTGTAAAAGTGTTTCTGTGTCAACGCTTTTGTGTGTAAAAGTGTATCTGTGTAAAAGGGTTTGTGTGTAAGAGTGTTTCTGTGTATATAAAGATGTTTGTGTGTAAAAGGGTTTGTGTGTAGAAGTGCATCTGTGTAGAAGTGTCTGTGTGTAAAAGCTTTTGTGTGTAAAAGTGTCTGTGTGTAAAAGGGTTTGTGTCTTAAAGCGTCTCTGTATAAAATGGTGTGTGTGCAGAAGGGTTTCTGTGTAAAAGGTGTTTCTGTGTGACAGCGGCAATGTGTGTGTAAAAGCAGCCTTGCTTACATGTTTTGTTTTCTTTGGCATGTTTGTTTTCCGGTCATCCGTGTCATGTTCAGGCCTTGCTGGCAAGTTTGACGCAGTCCTGACTTGTTTGCTTGGCATGTTTAGTAGGCATGCTTACTTGTACCCTGAAAGAAATATGAATGGATTAATGAAGTTACATTGGGATTCACTGATTTTTGGATAACATATTAGCATAACATTTCCTTGCTGAGGTTGGCACGAACGTTTGTTTTTTTGCTACCGGAACTGTCCGAGCAAACATGACCGCAAGCATTTCCGTTCGTGTGCATGTTTGCTTGACCTGTTTCTTGTTTGGCATGCCTATTTTCCGGTCACCCCTGGCATGTGTAGGCCTTGCTTACATGTTTTGATTTCTTGATCCGTTGATTGTTTGGCATGTTTGTTATCCTGTCATCTCTGTCATGCGCAGATCTTGCCGGCGAGTTTTAAGAAATCCTGACTTGTTTGCTTGGCATGTTTAGTAGGCATGTTTAATTTTACCCCCACAGAGATATGAATGGATTAATGATGTTACAGTGGGATTCATTCATTTTGGTGTTGTGGGTTCTGTGGGTAACATTTTAGCATCACATTTCTTTGCTGAGGTTGGTATGAACATTTTTCCCGAGAGCGTCTGAGCGCAGGGTTCTTCCAATAGTGGGGGTCTGTAAAACATCTTCTCATCTTCACATCTTCTCATCTTCGCATCTTCTCATCTTCACATCTTCTCATCTTCACATCTTCTCATCTTCACATCTTCTCATCTTCACATCTTCTTATCCTCACATCTTCTCCTCATCCCTCATCTTCTCATCTTCACATCTTCTCATCTTCACATCTTCTCATCTTCACATCTTCTCATCCTCACATCTTCTCCTCATCTTCTCATCTTCACATCTTCTCATCTCCTCATCTTCTCATCTTCACATCTTCTCATCTTCACACCTTCTCATCTTCACATCTTCTCATCTTCACATCTTCTCACATCTTCTCATCTTCACATCTTCTCACATCTTCTCACATCTTCTCACATCTTCTCACATCTTCTCACATCTTCTCACATCTTCTCACATCTTCTCACATCTTCTCACATCTTCTCACATCTTCTCACATCTTCTCACACCTCCACTCACATCTTCTCACACCTCCACTCACATCTTCTCACACCTCCACTCACATCTTCTCACATCTTCTCACATCTTCTCACATCTTCTCACATCTTCTCATCTTCACATCTTCTCATCTCACATCTTCTCCTCTTGCCCTCTTGCCCTCTTGCCCTCTCCTTCTTTTCTATTTCTCTTTTTCGTCCAAAACTGAGGTAAAATTGCGATTTTACTTGTGCCGGAGCAACCCTTTCGCACGAAATGATGGTCGATCGTCAAAAACTGACGTAAAATTGCGATTTTACTTGTGCCGGAGCGGTCGATCGTCAAAAACTGACGTAAAATTGCGATTTTACTTGTCCCGGAGCAACCCTTTCGCACGAAATGAGGGTCGATCGTCAAAAACTGAGGTAAAATTGCGATTTTACTTGTGCCGGAGCAACCCTTTCGCACGAAATGAGGGTCGGTAAAAGCTTCTGTGTGTAAAAGCGTCTGTGTGTGTAAAAGTCTCTGTGTGTAAAAAGCGTCTGTGTGTAAAAGCGTCTGTGTGTAAAAGCGTCTGTGTGTAAAAGGGTCTGTGTGTAAATGCGTTTGTGTGTCAAAGCGTCTGTGTGTAAAAAGCGTCTGTGTGTAAAAAGCGTCTGTGTGTAAAAGCGTCTGTGTGTAAAAGATTCTGTGTGTAAAAAGCGTCTGTGTGAAAAAGCGTCTGTGTGTAAAAGCGTCTGTGTGTAAAAGGGTCTGTGTGTAAAAGCGTCTGTGTGTAAAAGCGTCTGTGTGTAAAAGCGCCTGCGTGTAAAAAGCGTCTGTGTGTAAAAGCGTCTGTGTGTAAAAGGGTCTGTGTGTAAAAGCGTCTGTGTGTAAAAGCTTCTGTGTGTAAAAGCTTCTGTGTGTAAAAGCGCCTGCGTGTAAAAAGCGTCTGTGTGTAAAAGCGTCTGTGTGTAAAAGCGTCTGTGTGTAAAAGTGTCTGTGTGTAAAAGCGTCTGTGTGTAAAAGCTTCTGTGTGTAAAAGCGTCTGTGTGTGTAAAAGTCTCTGTGTGTAAAAGCGTCTGTGTGTAAAAGCCTCTGTGTGTAAAAGCGTCTGTGTGTCAAAGCGTCCGTCTGTAACAGTCTCTGCGTGTGAAAGTGTTTGTGTAAAAGCGTCTGTGTGTAAAAGCGTCTGTGTGTGTAAAAGTCTCTGTGTGTAAAAGCGTCTGTGTGTAAAGGTCTCTGCGGGTAAAAGCCTCTGTGTGTAAAAGTCTCTGTGTGTAAAAGAGCCTGTGTGTAAAAAGCGTCTGTGTGTAAAAGCGTCTGTGTGTAAAAGTGCTGTGTGTAAAAGGGTCTGTGTGTAAAAGCGTCTGTGTGTAAAAGCTTCTGTGTGTAAAAGCGCCTGCGTGTAAAAAGCGTCTGTGTGTAAAAGCGTCTGTGTGTAAAAGAGCCTGTGTGTAAAAAGCGTGTCTCCATACTAACAACAGAAGACTCTGCTCCTCTACGCTCTCGGGCCATCCGTCGTTTAGTTTTTTTAAAGTCTATGTTTGATGTTGATAATCTAAGTTATATTTTGACCACTGCGGTTCTAGTATTCATGGCTGGCCCTAGGTGAAGGCTGGAGCACAGCTGACCGTGGAGGCTGCACAAGGACTGGCACTCGGTGCAGCTTCGACGGTGGATCTCACATGGATACTGTGTGGGAAGATATATATACCTTATACATTATACAGTATACATATATATATACATGTATAATGTATAATGTATCATGTAAATGTAAAATGTATGATGTATAATGTATACTGTATAGTGTATAATGTATAATGTATAATGTGTATATATATATATCCATGGAACCTGGATCTAGTTTAGAAACATTTAGAACCTGACGTTTGTGGCGCCAGGGGATTTTAAAGAAATGGCTGCCATTAGGGTTCGAACGGTTAATTTACAGGTGTTACCAAACAACGCTACATTGGAAACATACCCACGTGTTTGCCAATGAACGGAAAAGGAGAACACTATCCAACCAACTGAGTCATACAAGAGGGCCGGTATGGTCTAGTGGATAAGACGCGTCCCTCATGCGTCAGACCCGGGTTCAATACCCAGGTGCAACACTAGGCGGACAGGCGGGCCACTACCCCACCCCTGCAATTAAGGTGATGAGCTAGGGTGTGGTCCGTAAAACACTCGCAACTGAGGAATACAACCAAAAAGATACAGCGGATATCGCCGGCAGTAGTGGGAATAATGGGAAATTGCCATCATAGCCAGCAATACTAAGAATCCTAGAGCAAATTGAAGGGCATTGCATACCTCGCATAGGTCACGCCAATTAAGAGGGGGATTTATGATTGATGTATTAGGAGGGGGATTTATGATTGGCGTTCAACAATACAACAATACTTGTCAGAATATGAAATTTGCCGGCTTTTGAGATTGCGCTTCAGCCCCAGGTTCCACAAAGGCATCAGAGAGTTTGCCATTTTCCTAAGTCTCTTCAGCCGCTTTTGAACCAGTTTTCTTTCAGGAACCAGGTTGAAAGCCAGCAAGTGGGAAACCAAACAAAAAATCAAGTTGCAGCAATGAAACGTATTTCCAGAAGAAAACCAGTGATGTTACAGCTATCAAAATTGTTGATGGTTACCAACAGTGGTTGGGTAGGTCCATGGTTGGGCTGAAATTCCCAAAGTCAGGTTGATTTAGGATTCCGTAAGTCGCCGTATTCTAGTCGTAGTCAAATAGAAAGCAACCTTTCAACACAGTTTTTTTTCCCACAGTTTTTCTCACATGAAATATTTTGCATTATCTATGATTCTGATTGATGATCTATATTCTCTATTTCCTAACATAGGGGTACCTCCAAATCATCCATTTTATTTTCGGCTTTTCCCTTATAAACTTTATAAACCATCCAGCTATTGAGGTACCCCCATGACTATGGAAACCCCTATGTTCTCTATTTTCAATGGGAGGCCTTGACAGCTACCTGGCAGTCTACCGCAGGAAGCGTGGTGCAGATCATAGGCCCCCACGACTCAGGGAAAGGCGCGGCGCGGTAGACGTCGCGGCGCGGCGTAAAACGAGGTCGTCAGGTAGATCGTTAAGTCCATGTTTTACGTGGTTAATAACCGGAGGAACTGATTAAAAAGGTCGGTTATCACAATAGTGGACAGATAGATGTATATAATTGTATATATAATATATGTTTATACGTGGTATGTTAATAATATAAGTTATGATTCAGCCATTTTTAGTTGGAAACAAGTTGCGGCGATTGGTGATTGTTTGTTGTGCAAGTTGCTGGTTGTTTATTGTCCAAATACATCAAATGAATTAGTTCTTATGAATAGTATAAGTTGTATACAAATGATGAGAATATCAAAGTTCTAGTAAGTAATACATTACGGGTAAGTAGTACATTACTACAACAAATAACAATAAGTAATACATTTGTAAGTTCTAGTTTTTATTACGGGTAAATTATTAAATACAAATTTCTGCTGCAAACATCTCCATGTTTGTTCTACAGTGAGATCTCTTTTCTCTAGGAAATTTAACGACACAATGACCTCACCATGGACAATGTCGGAAAAATTACTGAGGGGCTATGTGTTCTTTTGTCCAAAAACTATTTTTGTCCATAAATACCATCCAGTAAATGGATCAGATGTTCAAAATTATTTATGTTCAACACTATTTATGTTCAAAACATAATTACATCAAATCACATACCATCCAGTAAACTAGCATAGCTATGGACAATCACCACAATGTAAATTTGCCCCCAAATAAAGTCATAAATGTAAACGGCGTGGTAATGCAAACAGTGGAACATTCGTTCTAAATCCCTATAAACTACAACTTCCATGGAATGGTCCCTATAAGTTCCTATGAACTCACCATGATCACACTCTGGGTCAATCTTGGTTAGATACGAACTAGTACTTTAATCTTTTGCTATAAATGGTAAAATTCATCCTCTTTTTTGGCAGGTATCTGATATTCATAGATCATTTAGCTATTGAAAAAGTGGTGTGTTTTTTCAAAGTGAAGAGTTGCTAGTAAAGTTGCTAGAAACCAGAGGCTATCATCCCAATGATCTGCCAATAGAGGATTTTCCATCGATATCCATCCCGATATTCCCCATGTGATTTCCCAATGATTTTCCCATTGATTTTCCTGCACCAGGCAGGGCAACCGGAGATTTCGCCCATCTACCAACTGGTCCATCCACTGTATCATCGCCATCCCAATGATCTTCTCAATGATATTCCATTGATATCATCACCATCCACTGATCTTCCATTGATATCCACTATTCCTGATATTCCATGGATCTCCAATCGAGGACGCCACGTCTGGCGGCACCGCAGGTGCCATCCTCCGACGGATTTGCGATTTGGACTCCACCATGCCTGGCGTTGCCACTGGGAACCACTGGGACAGGGAGGTTTTAGCTGCTTCCTGGCTGGGGACCATAGGAAACACATAGGAAATGTAGGAAAATCTATGTTTTGATCCATCAAGAATGGGGATTTATAAGTGATTGAACCAACAACAATGAACACTTATAGTTGGAATTATTATAGCTAAGTTGGTCTATTTTAAGATGGTCAACGATTGTAGTAGATATTATATAATTCAACGGATGTTAATGGATGTTAATGGGGTGAAACTACCAGCATCCACACCGTTTCGGAGAAAGAAGCATTGGTGCTGCAGCCTCCAGCAGAAGATCAGCACCGGAAGGGACTGCCAGTGCTACGGGATGAGCGTCAACCGCTACCACGAGCCCTGTCGGAGCCGAGGTGTGTCTTGCGACCAAGGGCATCATCTCGCAGCCGAACAGATATTCAGCGCAGAAGATGTCAATCAGAGAATGTATATGACAATTTTTTCACGCTGTGAAAGCTATCGGTCATGAAGGTGATGATTGGCAGCAGCTGAAACTAAACCAACACACATAACTGGGGGGGAACCACCTGCAAGGGGTATCAACCAGCAAAGATATTTTTTGGACCAACAGCAACTGATTCCGACCCCCGAAAAAATATTTCGCACTATTTTTTTTAAACTGGGATTTGACCTTTCTTTTTTGGGAGTTGCCCTAGGCCACAATCGATGATGAGTGAGGTAAGCGGCCAAATTCACGCAGGTTTGTCCAGACGAATCTGGGGATTGGTGGCTGACCATGGCGTTTTTGGAGTCCCTTCCCCCTCTTTTTTTTTTGAATATCCTCCTAGAACTCCTGGTTTAGTATTGAATCATATTGAATCATTATTGATCATTATTGATTTATCTAGATTTATCTATTTTGTGGGGGCACAAGGGGGTAGTTAAGATTAGGTGGATGGATGAGGATGGGATTGATTGTACTTATTTCTGATTTGTGGTTTCAATCCACATCACCATCCACGTCCACGGGAATGTGAATTAGATTTGATATGGTTCAAAAACCATCAGCATGAGTTCATATGAGTTCTTATCCCCTACTATTTGGTCACCCTGTTTTTATGGAGTGGGCTATAGCTATGGTGACCAACCAATCAACAACTTTCAAATGTTTTCAACAAAGCCCCTGTGTATGGGCACCTTGGACAGCATGGGACCCATGCTGATGATGTGTGAATGGTTGTTGGTGCTATTGAAAATGGCCCATAGAAATAATGGATTTACCCAGCTAGAAAATGGTCGATCTTTCCATAGTTATGTAAACGTTTACCAGAGGGTATATCCTGATATGTTTTGAGAAAGAGCACCGATTCCTCCTTTTTTTCACTTAGTTGATGGTTTCGTCAGCGCATTTCGAGTGTGCTTTGCTATGATTTTCTGTGGGTTAACTAACCATTAAGCCATGTATGGTAGTCGAGTTTCCGATGCGCAAAATCCTTGGTTGGTCAACAGGTGATTTTTGGGTTGTTTCTTATGAGTAACTGTTTCATATCCCATAGACAACACTTTTTTTAAATAGGGTAAGGTTCGCCAGGATTTTTGATAGGATGAGGTTTGCTAAGCTTTTGGCTGGTTCCAGTTCACTACATCAAATTACAAATTCATTCATCACAATTTGAGTGAGAATTGTCAAATTACATTCACCACAAATTCATTACATCAAATTAGAAATGCATTCACCACAATCAATTGCCCTTTCCTACATAGAGGTTTCCATATATATATATATAGTGGTTACAATACCATATATGGAATCACATTTTGAGTGAGAATCTCATCTACTGGCCTTTTCCTGAGAAACATCACCCAGTCCTCATTAACCTGGGGGGGTTTCCATAGTCATGGGGGTACCCCAAAAGCTGAACGGTTTATAATAGAAAAGCGTATTTTTAAATAGATGATCACTGGGGATGCCCCCATGACGAATAGGACATCTACATATAATATAGTTGACTATATGGTGGTCACAATCGAGGTTAGTTGGTGACTGAGATAATATATAATCAACATTGTAGAGCTTACCAAGCTTAGTTATCTCAATAACCAACTAACATCAACTAACCATGTAGAGGTTTCCATATATAGAGGTTACAATACCATGTTACTGTAATCATATTTAAGGAATAATCATCTTGGAGTATATATATGGTATATTATATTATATATATGTATGTAACATATATTTATCATAGTATTACCATAGTAGATATGTGGTATATATACATAGTAGATATATGGTTACCATAGTATTACAATGGTACAGACATATTTATCATTTATGGCTTATTCTACATATGTATGTAGTCATACTGTGGATGGAAGAAATCCTGCACCACCTTGGATGGTTGAAACCCTATAAATAATGGGATGTTTACCACCGTTTTCAACTGGTGCAGGATTTCGCAACCATCCACCGTAGTATTTATATTGATCATTTATGGAAACCTCATGAAAGGCAAGCTTCAAGGCAGCCGGCAGCCTTTCCAAGGTCAAGGCATCGCCTCACTTGACCATCTTGCAGGTGCCCCACGAGCCGCTGTTGCTGGGCAGAATGGTCCCCGGGAAAGCCGCGAGAAATGTGGAATCCATAGGGTGTACATATATATATATATAAATGTATGTATGTATGTATATAATATTCATATGCATATATATATATATATATGTGTGTATGTATGTATATATATACATATATATATACATATATATTTGAGGGGTCCTTAAACAAGTCCAAGTTATGTAACAAGCAACCAACCATGGGGATTTTGGCATGAACATATGGAACATATGGGAACGGGTCAACACCTATAAAGTGCCATGTCCCACGCAAGGCTATATATAGAGTGTTATTCTTGATTTTCTGATCCGATGATGTTTTTCATTTTCCCGATGGGAAATCCACTACCTGGGGAATCGATAGGGTATACATGTATATACCCTCTGATTATTTAACATAGCCATGGAAAATGGCCCATTTATAGATGGTTTACCCATTAAAAATGGTGATTTTCCATGGCTATGTTAAATAACCAGATGGTATAGGTTTGTGTTTTAAGGATTCCTCAAACAATTTCTAGTTATTTAACAATCAAACATGGGGGTTTTAGCATGAACATATAAGATTTAACCATACTTAACCAAAATGAAGCTGGGGAACATGGTGATTGACCTGATTGAGCGGTGGATTTACAGGTACTCGTGATCTTCAAACAAATCCATACGGTGGATAGCTATATAGCTATGTTAAGAACTGATGATTTACATAATTTATGCGTGATTTCTCCGTGGTAAAAATATCTGATTTATCTGATAATGACGAGTCGTCTAGTTCAATTCCAAAACAGGGGGATTTTAAACATTTACAAAATGGTGATTTTTGTTCAAAAGCGACATGGCTGTGGGAAAAAGCATTGGATCTTCAGTAGCCATTTTGTTTGGACAATGGGAGGTGGTTGTTGCTGGACTTTCAGAGATAGCAACTAAGAATGGAGATTCAGCCAGCAACTAAGAATGGAGAATGGTGGTTGTTGCAACTAAGAATGGAAGATGGCATTTCTTTTTAAAAACTGATGGAGATTCAGCCGGTTGATCGTGCAGAACTGTAGAGGGGCTGGATATTGTGATTCCCAGCGATTGGATTGTGGTGGTCACTTTTCATGCCCTGTTTTGCGAAAAATGGTGCTGGTAGATTTACCTACAAAACAGGGTGATTTTGGGCAAGGGCAAATGTTGGTAAATATTCCATACATGGAGCATATGGGATGTGTGGGCCGTCTTTTCCTTTTTGTAAACTGCCACTGACCTTTGTGTGTGTGCCTTCCAGTGAAGTGTCAAGCCTTGACCTTCGCCTAGACCTTCCCAGATACCTTCCATGGCATGCTACTGCCTAGACCTTCGAGGCCTCGAGTCTCAAAGAAATGACCCAACCTGCGGGCCTGCGGGCCTATTGGTACCACAGTTTTGAGCCAAAATCACCGGATTCCTTCGGAATGTTGTGCGATTTGCGCATGGTTTCAAGCTCTGAAACGCACCGCAAGTGAGCAATGAGTCCCCTGTTGCTGCTGGGATACTATATATATACATACACATATATTATAATTCATTATATATAACATCCCTATGTATATATGCATATTATATATATAATTATATATATATATATATGGATGTATGAAGTGGTTTAATGAGCACGGACCGCCTGAGTCTACGGACGTCACCTGCACAAGTGCCGCTGCAGATTTTAGGTTCCTCGAAGGCGGTGGAGTATTCGCGAATCTCCATATGGCAGATGCTTGGCGGCATGTGATACCAGGGGCCTCTGGTAATTTAACTATTTAGTAATGGTTAGTAATGGTTAGTAGTGGTTAGTAGTGGTTAGTAATGGTTAGTAATGGTGACTTTTCATGGGATCTTTCATGGGATTTCCTGGGATATACCCTCTGGTAATTTCCAACAGTTTGCTCAGTAACAGTTGATTTACCTATTCCAAATGATGATTTTCCATAGCTATGTTAGATTACCAGGCCGGGTACGCATCAAATGGATGAACATCCCCAATCTGGATCCAAGTAAAGTACCTTCTGAAAGGAAGTGTGACCGGGGTCCGATAATTTTTTGGGGGATTCGCTGTAGCTTCTAACAGGAGGTCTTTGGATCCATTGAGCGCGGCTGCAGAATCGACCATGGAGAGTCTACATGAAAACACCGGGACCCGGCCTGGTCAATGTTAACAAAAAGCGACATAGAAGCCATGGCCCAGTCGAAATGTCGTGGATTTTCCCAGCAACATAAGCTATGGTGGGGATCTTTCCAGTTCGTTTTTTGTTAACGTTGACCAGGCCGGGTAATTCATGATTTTTGGTCCATCAGCATTTTTAATTACGGTAATTCATCGGTACGGTATTCCGCCAGGTCATCCCACAGGAATCTGAAAAAACCATGGGTACTGTATATGAATCCCTACAGGGTGGTGCCCCAGTTCGTTAGCTAAGTTGGTGCAAATAAGTCCAATTTCACTATAGTTTTTGTTGGTGATCTATCGAACTAGTTAATGGGATTATAAGCCATTTATAACTGGGGGGCTTCACATTGTATCTGGTTGGTATAGGGGAACCACACCCATAAGTCCGAACATGTCCAAACACTTCGTGTCATCCAAACAAAAATCCCATCCTTCTGGGTGGTATGTATTTTAATGAAATATTGGCTACAACATCTCCCCATTTCAGGATGGTTAAACCAGGTTAGACCATGTTAAACCTCCCGACTTTTGATGCTGAAACAATGTTCATTACCATCTGGTTATTTAACATAGTAACATAGCCATGGAAAATGGTCCATTTATAGATGGTTCACCTACTAAAAAGATTTAAAAAGGTGATTTTCCATGGCTATGTTGAATAACCAGATGGTACATTATTTAACTAGATCACAAGTGACCAGGACGATTCTCAGTAGCTGATGCCACAGATTTGCTAGTCGGTGGGCAGTCCATTTACATTTCCCACCTATGGCTATTTATGGGCATTACTCAGTATATAAGTATATATTCTATTCCATACTGCCATGATGGGTACTGGCAAGTTCGCAAATTGTGTGTAAGTCTGTTCCCTTTTCTACAGAGCCAGACACTTGTCAGAAATTTCCGGGATCAGCCCGACTTTTCTGCTGCTCAAATAGCCCGATTTCCGCAAAACCAGCCAGTCTTTCATCCTAGGTGGACAAAACATACCTAAAGATCATGTGTTTTTTTGGTGGGTATCTATATAAGTTTGTCACTATACAATCGTATCTCCATACAACTTAAACATAACTTAAACACCTCCCCATTTGTAATGATTCCGTTCACAGACCTCTGAATGGTCCTATCCACATTTCCGAATGGTCCTATCCGATTTTCCCATGAAAACAACTTTAAGTGCCACATTTTCGGACACGTCCTTTTTGATGAGCATTGAACATCACTCACCCCCATGAAAAACCCCATGAATTACAACAGGTACAAGGTGGTTCCCCTGTTTTTTCGTTTATAAACTCGGCAGTAAGCATAGCAAACTCCACACAAATTCTCCGGTTGGTGATCCGAAATATGTGCGAAATACCTCCAACCAGCGATTTTCAATGGACGAACACACAAGGTGGGCCCTCCCTAGCTCTATACGTATAGGACTTGTGGATGTATTGAGCCGTTCCATCCCAGGCAAAACCCAGTAGTTCCCCATTAGTCCCCCATATTGATATACTGGAAGTGGGGAGCCCGTGAAAATAGCCTTCATTAATATCCTTACAAGGTGGTGCCCCCCCCAGTTATAAATGGGTTATAATTATATATAATCCCATTAACTAGTTCGATAGATCACCAACAAAAACTATAGTGAAATTGGACTTATTTGCACCAACTTAGCGATTCCGAACTGGGGCACCACCCTGTATCCCATCTCATTTTACTGGTTGAAAACGGTTTCCCGAGTTCGTTCAGAATCCTCAAGAACCAGGTACTACCTTGTGGTAAACAAACATAGCTATTGAAAATGGCCATAGAAATAGTGGATTTTCCTATTAAAAATTGTGATTTTCCATATAGGTATGTTAGTTTGTAACCAATAAAAAATCAACCATTGGTTTATTTACCAATTCGCTATAGGAATATTCTCCGAATCAACCCTTTTGCCATTAAACGATATTAAACGAACGTTATACCATGGCCACTAAAATAGTTAACTATATAGTAATATCCCCGAATTTACCATGTTCACCGACTTCTAAGTCAACTTCGCTATCATGAAAATCAGCTATAAATCTCATGAAATCCCGATTTTCCTTGGTTAAATCATCGTTGTCGTATGGTTTCACTCAACATTTTCCAATTTTCCTATGGCTTCACCAATTGTCCTAGGGGTTCGCGTCATTTTCCCATGGTTTTCACCATTTTCCCCAGGCTTTTCCCATGGTTTTCAGGCCATCGGGCAGAAAGGCTTCGACCCCGCTGCCACGGCACGCGGGCGTCGCATCTTACAACGCCTTGGCCTTGGCAAGTCCTGGCGCCTCGACGATCGCGAAACGGCCACGAGGATGGGATTTGAGGACCCCAGGACTCGAGCGACGAGCGATAGCGTTGCCGAAAAAAAGTGGCTGAATGAACTCTGGTTTATGGTTTATAGATGGTTTACCTATTAAAAATGGTGGATCTTTCCATGGCTATGTAACAAATAACCAAAGGGTATATCTACAAGGTGGTGCCCCCCAGTGATGTTAGTTGGTTTAGATAAAAGCCCCAGTAACTAGTTCGTTATTTGCGTACCATAAACCATAGTGAAATTGGAGTTATGTGAACCCCAACTTAGCTATCGAACGGGGGCCTCACATTGTAGATATAACGAACTAGTATTCATGGGGTTTATAAATGAACTTATAACTTATAACAATGGGGGTGCTGGGGCTGGGACATCTCCATTTGGGGGTTTCCTACAATGGGGCTACCCCAATAGCTGGATGGTGTATAATAGAAAATCCGGAAATAAAATGGATCATTTAGCGGTACCACCATTTTGGGAAATCTCCATTTTTCATGGGGAAACTATGGTAAAATGATCATTTTGAGGGGACATCTCCGGTAAAATATGGTAAGCTATGGTAAGATATGGTAAAATTATGGTAAGATACCGTGAACTATGTATGGATATTTAATAAGATATGGCAACCTGTGGCAGGTCCTGGAGCGAAATGGAGTTTTTTTTTTTCCATGGGAAAATCAAGTAAACATCCGGAATGTTCCAGCCATGAACAATCACCCGACTACCCGACGTTACTGGCGTTGATGAGTTGCTGGCGGTTGCTCCTCCCCGGCTCATTGGGTGACGGAGCCAGTGAATGACCCAAGCGCGACTGATCAATTGTTTCTGTTATGTTCTGGCTATAACTGGTTCTAACTGGAAAACCAATGATTCACAGAAAACGGGCAGCAAGATCAACAAGTCCATAAGTTTCGTTAAGGTTCCAGTGGACCAAGTAGATAGAATATTGGAACAGTTTCAATCCTGATTTCAAAAAAAACACTAGATCATAACTATATGTATATGGTTTGATTTTGACAATCCAATTATGCACCATTCCACACCAATGATTTTGGTCAGTTGTGGGTCGTAAGTCGGGTCAGTGCAACATAGACCACCCAAATAGAAAGACGGACAAGCACAAGGTTTTAAGGCCAGTCCACTTATAAAGTTGTTGAACAAATCACATCCAACTACACATACTTGCAGATATATCCATCATAGATCCAACCGTAAAAAAAAGTGTGTGTTATAAGTTATAAACAAACTTTGCAAAAATATAAAGTCATCAACCTAGCTTCATTTATTGAATATCTATATCTATATATATATATATAAGGGCTGCCGCCCCCTGCTGCCGACCCTCAGATACCCTTGGTAGAGGGATGGAGAGGATCTTCTTAAGGGGGGGGGTCTTCTTTGGGGGGGGGATCTTCGTAAGGGAGGGGGGATCTTCTTAACCAGTTATAACCAATTATAACCAGCTATAAACAGTTATAACCAGTTATAAACAGTTATACCCAGTTATAACCAGTTATAACCAGTTATAACCAGCATAAACCAGCTATAACCAGTTATAACCAGTTATAACCCGTTATAACCAGCTATAACCAGCTATAACCAGCTATAACCAGTTATAACCAGTTATAACCAGCTATAACCAGCTATAACCAGTTATAACCAGTTTTAACCAGTTATAACCAGCTATAACCAGCTAGAACCAGTTATAACCAGTTATAACCAGCTATAACCAGCTATAACCAGTTATAACCAGTTATAACCAGTTATAACCAGTTATAACCAGTTATAACCAGTTATAACTGGTCACAACCAGTTATAACCAACTATAACCAGTTATAACCAGCTATAAACAGTTTTAACCAGTTATAATCAGTTATAACCAGTTACAACCAGTTATAACCAACTATAACCAGCATAACCCAGCTATAACCAGTTATAACCAGCTATAACCAGTTATAACCAGTTATAACCAGTTTTAACCAGTTATAACCAGCTATAACCAGCTAGAACCAGTTATAACCAGTTATAACCAGTGCCTAAACAGCTCCAGTGCCCCAGTGGCCCCAGTGCCCTTTGCGGCTGATGTTGCCTTAGGGCTTCATCCAAACTCTCTCTGCCCTTTGCGGCTGCCCATTGCAGCTGATGTTGCCCGAGAGCTTTATTCAATGGCTTCTCTCCCATTGCGGCTAATGTTGTCTCGGGGCTTCAGTTCGTAAAATTTTCTTAGTGTCAAGCTTCTCTCTGTAAAAGCTTCTGTGTGTAAAAGCTTCTCTGTTTTCAAAGCTTCTGCTTGTCAACGTTTCACCGTGTAAAGGGACCACTGTTGAAAGCTTGCTGCATTTGAAGGCTTCTGGATGTAAAGGCTTCTGTCTGCAAAGGCTTTTCTGTGCAAAATTTTCTCTCTGTAAACGCTTCTGTGCGTGAAAGCTTTCAAGTCAACGCTTGACTGTGTCTGTAAAAGCTTCCTGTGTGTAGCAGCTTCTCTGTGCAAAGGCTTCTCTATGTAAGGAGGGGAGGGGGGTCTTCTTCCGGGGGGGTAGGGGGGGGTCTTCTTTAGAAAGGGGGAGGGATCTTGTTTAAGGGGGGTAGCTGTATGTTCCCTCGATGCTTTTGCAGAGTTGTTTTCCCGCCACGCAAGATTATAAGGCTAATGCAACCTGATAATGTCACTTCGTGGTGTCACACCGGAGAGCCTCTGTTCATTTCCCCCTCTTGCCCTGCAGCGTTTTGAGCTTGTAGTTTTGCAGTGGCCATGGCTTCCCATCCAGCGCTGCACCTTGGGCAGCAGGTCACCCAAGTCGACGGGCGCACCGGGGCACTTTCTGTGGTGTTTGTGTGCGCTATTCGTCATGATGGATTTGTACAGACCGGGTTGAGCTGCTCGGCCTCAAGCTGCTACGGTCCAACTCCTTGCCAGCTAAGAAGTCCTTCCATGTCTGTTATATGTTCATACCTTCCTGGGGTTTTCTGACAGTGATTGTTCCATTTGGAGGCTCTTCGTCTCACCATGATTCGTTTCAACCGGCGCCTTTTTCCGCTGCCAGCTGCTCGGCTGTCCTCAGGCAAGAACGCAGAGACACTCACATCCTGGGTACACCCATCTAAATTCAGCCCTGCGGCTCGGCTTGCGTCGAGGTATGTGAGACACCGACGTGGTCATTCTACAGAAGGGTTTGGGCATATCGGGATATAGGGATAGATTTGGGTTGGCCATTCCAGCACAAGGCAAGCAGCATGTTGTTGGGAGGGACATGTATATACACCCACTCTGTTTTCTGAGGATGCTTCATGTTCTTTGTTTTTTCTCTCTCTCTCTCTATTATATATATATATATGCTCTTATACGTGTCTATTATACCCTCATACCTCCCCATTTCCTTCCTGTGTCAGGTTCAGACCATGTCTTCCAATCTTTCTTCACTTTCCAGCACATCCGAGCATGACAACCTCACCATTGTCCCAGACGACAGTGCGTCGCAGGTGGGAGAGAAAGAATGTCACTTGAGCGCCAAGGTCTTTCACTCCCTTCAACAAAGATTCGTTGCACATTTCCTGTTCCTATTCTTGGATGTGTCGGTAATCTGGCCTAGGTCCCAAGCTTTGCATCCTGGAATCATGGGCCGAACCAATGGTCACAGCAGTTGCTTTGTCGTGCATTGCTGCGTGCAGGTGGCTGCTTGGCCGCGCAAGCGGCAATCGGATTGGTGGGAGCATACGGGCTGGGCCAAATCGTGCCTTGCTTGCAGTGATTGATTCTTTGCTTTTGCTGAACGTCACCTGCCGCTGTTTCTCTTCATTTCCCTTCTTTTCGTTGAAATGGCTTTGGCCTCCATCAGTGCCAGCTTGAGCGTGCGGCCAACCTTGTTTACACCTCATCGTTGACTTGTTCTGAGACCTCGTCGTGACCAGCGGGAACACCGCACCCGTGTGACGGTCAAGTTCGAAAGTGGGCAAGCGGAACTTTGGTTGAAACGGGCTCGTTGGCACGGCCCCTTGGTGAAGTTCAGCCGTCGGTGCTGTACATATGTATATATCTATCTATCTATCTGTCTGTCTATCTATCTATCTATCTAGCTATCTATCTATCTATCTATCTATCTATCTATCTATCTATCTATCTATCTATCTATCTATCTATCTATCTATCTATCTATCTATCTATCTATCTATCTATCTATCTATTCATCTATCTATCTATCTACTATCTATCTATCTGTCTATCTATCTATCTGTCTGTCTATCTATCTATCTATCTATCTATCTATCTCTCTCTCTCTCTATCTATCTATCTATCTATCTATCTATCTATCTATCTATCTATCTATCTATCTATCTATCTATTATCTATCTATCTATCTATCTATCTATCTATCTATCTATCTATCTATCTATCTATCTATCTATCTATCTATCTATCTATCTATCTATCTATCTATCTATACATATGTGTATATATATATATATGCCTATTTGTACTTCTCATTTATATATATATATATAATTTTCTAGCAATGCTCAATACACACACACATATATACATATATATGTATAATGTGAACTATATCGTAGATATGTTTTAATACATCTCTATAAATGTATGTATATGTCTATATGTCATACATAGATCTATGTCCCTTTCACTGCCATACTTTGCTTTGATGGCTCTGTTCTTTTCCGCCCCTGTTGCCTAAGGACACATCGACCACCACTATGAGGACAATGATGAGCTGTTTTTGCGATTCAAGGTGGCGGCGCACGCGTTGTCCTTCGTCAAAGAACATAACCAGGGCTGTTACCATGCCTCGTTTTTTTCCTTCCTCGTCAACGTACAGGCGCCGCAATGTTGTGGCGAACCGTTTGATTTGGCCTTGCAGCGTGTAGTTTCTGCGAATGCCTACAAGGTGTCTTTTTTTCTGCCAGTTTTGGCATTGCAACGTGCCATTTTAAGACCCTATTTCTTTGCGTTTGGATTCTGCAAGCGGCTCCATAGTGAAAGGACCCAGATGCCAAATTGTTGGGATGTGCTTGTTCATTCTCGTCGGTTTATTTTCCTGATTACCCCCAATCCTGCATGTGCTTCCTGCGGATAATTGATGGAGCTGTTTGCGGGGCACGAAGATGCCCTGCGGTGCCAAGCCTGATGCCTTCAAGGCCTGTTTTTTCTGAAGTCTTGTCTTGGCGTTGCAACGTGCCATTTTAAGACGGTTTTGGCTGCTCCATCCCAGATCCCAGATTCATTTCCGAAGTCCTTGTGATTGAACTTGCATTGGCTGGAAGCCTGAGAATATCTGTAATTGCGTCCATAATTTAGATCTCGTAGTTCTCCATGAGGAGGGATACGAAACAAATATATGATCGGTATGATTCTTGATTGGATGGGATATTATGCGGTTAGTGGTCAAAGCAGCTATCGGGTTCACATGAATATGCTAGACAATTAAGGTTAATGGCACGCAATGTGATTTCTATAATACGATGGGATAGTTACCCGTGATGTCTCAATACTAATTGCTACGAAAATATATACATATGTTGATTTCCAATTTCATTCCATGACACTGGGGACAACTTGATATCTTTGGGTAGCCCCGACCATGCCTGGGAACATGGGTCCAGTGTATTAGTGGGTCGTCCCTGGGCTATCATTATTGATTTTACCCCCAAGCCCAGGGTGTGCACGTGTTTTCTGCGGATGATTGATGGAGTTGATGTGCGGGGCACGAAGCTGCCCGGCGGTGCAAAGCCTAATGCCTTCAAGGCCTGTTTCTTTCCAGTTTGGCGTTGCAACGTACCATTGGCTTTCGACCATTCTGCGACGGCTGAAGAGTGTGAATGTGTATGTTGCTGTGGCTTGGTGCGAGCACACCTTGCAGCTACGGTATAGAACTACATGCATTCCATGTTGCCACATTCGCCCCAACTCTCCACTTCTAATATCCCTGGCATTCTACCTGACAATTCTATTCATACACTATGTGCCTACATCCAGGAAATTCCTTTTAGGTCAACTGCGACGACGGCGACGACGACGGCGACGACGACGGCGACGACGACGGCGACGACGACGACGACAACGACGACGACGACGACGACGGGTTGTTGTTGTTGTTGTTGTTGTTGTTGTTGTGGTGCTTAACTTCTGACTGGCCGCTCCGCCACCCTGCCTCCGGATCCTTCTCCTTTGCAGAGAACACCTCCCCCCTTCCAAAGAAGATTCCCACCCCCTTCCAAACAAGATCCCTTCCCCCCTTCGGAAGAAGACCCCTCCCCCTTCGGAAGAAGACCCCCCCCTTCCTAAGCAGACTCCCCCTAAGCAGACTCCCCCCCCTTCGGAAAAGACCCCCCCCCCTTCCTAAGAAACTCCTCCCCCCCCTTCGCAAGACCCCCCCTAAGTATTCCCCCCCTTCTTCTTTTTGAGCTGGGGGGAGTGGACTGGGCCACAGGGTTCGTCAAAGACTCCCGCCCCCCTTGAAGACCCCCCCCATCCTTACCCTGGTGAGGCTCTTGGCAGAGTGGCCATGGGTTACGTCACTGTGTGTTGATCATGGGATGTCATGGGATGGAAGGGTGAAGTGATGGGATTTAACAGGATGTACATAGTGGGATTTTGTGCCATACACACACATGTATATATATATAATATATATATATACAGATATCAACAATATATTATACATATATATATATATATTATATATATATATATTATATATATATATTATATGTATTATATATATATATATGTATTATATATATATTATATATATATATATTTTTTACACCGTTGCTGTTGCTGCTGCTGCTACTGCTGCTGCTACTGCTGCTGCTACTGCTGCCGCTGCCGCCGCTGCTCCTGCTGCTTCGTGAAGGACGGAGAAGCCATCAAATCGCACCAAAAAACTGCCTAACGTGTCTTGCGAAACCCTAGAGAACTAGCTAGAAACGTCCTTCAACTTACACCTTCTGGGCCGCCAAAGCTTGGGCCCGCCAGCCTGAAACATGGGCAGTGAAGGACAGAGAAGCCACCAAAACGCACCAAAAAACTGTCTAACGTGTCTTTTCTGAAATCCTAGAGAACTAGCTAGAAACGCGCATCAACTTACACCTTCTGGGCCGCCAAAACATTGCACCTGCCAGCCTGAAACATGGGCAGTGACGGATGGAGAAGCCACCAAATCGCACCAAAAAATTGCCTAACGCGTCTTCTGAAATCGTAGAGAACTAGTTAGAAACGCGCTTCAACTTACACCTTCTGGGCCGCCAAAACATTGGACCGGCCAGCCTGAAACACCATGGCAGTGAAGGACGGAGAAGCCACCAAATCGCACCAAAGAACTGCCTAGTGTCTTCTGAAATCCCAGAGAACTAGCTAGAAACGCGCTTCAGCTTACACCTTCTGGGCCGCTAAAACATGGGCAGTGACGGATGGAGAAGCCACCAAATCGCACCGAAAAACGAGCTACAACTTATACTTATACCGTTGCTGTTGTTGCTGCTGGTGCTGTTGTTGTTGAGGAGGAAATTTTTATTCCCTGGCGCGCTCCCCCTTGCTGTCGGCCGGGGTCGGCGGATATATGATTGACACCCAAACCATTTCAGGAATCGCACAAAAGTTGCCAAATCGCCAAATCGCCAAGGATCATGGAGCAATATGACTCGGAAGAAATGACGAGTTACTGGATACCACCTTGGGGAGGGGACCAGAGCAGCAGGGCTGCCCCTGTGGAAGATCTAAAAACCATTTGCCAACTGGGATGTGAAGAAAAGGATGTGTATAGGGAAGAAGAAAATGAGAAAAGTGACTGAGTCACAACTACTTTAAGACATAGTTTGACTGACATGTGAGTCGGCTTTTGTTTCATTCTTTTTCGGGAACCTGTGGAACTGGAAAACATGCAGAAGACCATGCAGTATGTGGGCAATTGGACCCGATGGGGTTCTTGTAAGATTTCCCTTAAATCAATCCATGGAAAAGTGGATCTATTTGAGTATAGTGAGAAACCCATTAATCAACCTGCTGGGGACGGTCTATCGAAGCCATGTATGTTTGGTGATGGTTTTTATTGGGTTTACCATATTAAATTGTGATACTCTTTCCCAAACCACAGGGGATAGCGACAGAATCAGGAATATGGGCGTTGGAATTGGACAGCACCACTACACAAATGGTTGAACAACCAAACCCGGGAGATTAAAAACATGGATCTGTAGGAATCTTTAGTGCTTGGTCATCCAATTTGCTGCACTGGCTAGGAAGCCTGGTTCGTAAATTCCCAATTCCATCCCATGGATACATAGTTTATATATACACTAAAATATGGCTATGAACTAGCTAATGCAGTGTATAGAGGTTTCCTAAAATGGGGGATCCCCAGTCGTCACCAAGGTTTACTAAAATGGTCGAATTTTGCATGATTTGGGGGTCCTCCGTGTTTCTTGGTGAAGTCCCATCAAAAAGCACCGCATCCACTGAGCCTTGCAAGTTACATTCAATGTGGGGCATCCTGGGCATCGATAGCTAAGTTCGTTTACAAAGCATCATAAACCATTATAAACCCCCAAGTTCCGTATAGTTTTTCTTCTTTCTGGCGATATGAAGCTCTGCTGCCTGCCAACGTAGTTCCGTATAGTTACCATATAGTTACCATATAGCTACCATATAGTTACCATATAGTTACCCTAAAGTTGCCATATAGTTACCATATAGATACCCTAAAGTTGCCATATAGTTACCCTTGAATTCACCGAGTGCAATTTCCAGCAACTTATCGCTTGGGGCCCCCACCTGGCCATCGGTCATCGGATCCGATTCTCCAAGGCTTGCTGCCTGCCGATGAGGTTGGGAAGCCCAACATCTCGTAAATAATACTGTACATACATTCTATATTCTATATATATATATATATATATATACAACCATAAGTATGCATAAAATAAATTCGGGTATTCGGAAATAGTGTATTTGTCACATTTGTCTTTGATGTGGGCAAAGTCTTGTGTGAAAGCATAGCTGAAACGGTCGGAAGAGAAGACCAGAGGGGTATAGTATCCCCTCCGGTAAACTAACACAGCTATGGAACATTATGGAGCACAACATCACATCATTAATGGGACCTTATAGCGACTTCATGGGATTTAATGAAATCTAATGGGTATTTACCTTCTGGTAAACTAACATAACTATGGAAAACCACCATGTTTAATGGGTAAATCAACGTACCCAATAGCAATTTTACATTGGTATGTTGGTTTACCAGAGGCTAGCTATTACTTATTATTCCTGGGATGTACATCCAAGTGGGCTTGGAGGCTCAAGAGATGGGTTGAAAGTAACTTTGTTCTCTTCGTCAACATTTGGTGCACCTTGAGAATTGACGTTTTCATGGATTTTCAGGATGGCTTAATTACGTAAAGATGGACAATCTTCGTTGAATAGAGTTGAGTTTTGCTTTTTGCGATATGAATCAGAATTGGTGTTCATGATTCACATCCTCGTATGCATTGAGTTCCCTGTTCAAACTTTCAGTGTCATGTCCCACTTGTTTATAGTAGTATATAGGTTTGTCCCTGAATAAGTAGTGTAGTATTTCAAGTAGTCATTTATACGTGTCACTTGTTTATTTCAAGTATATATTGTTTATAGTAGTCATTTCTCTTGACTTCATCGTATTTCTATTCAGTTTTCTTGCTTATCGCCTCATCCAGATTTCCAGATGAGAGGTTCCCCAGATTTGTCACAAAGTCACAAAGTATCTATATTTCTGGCAGACCAGTGGTGGGTAATTTAGTACTTTTGTGTATTGTTCTCTACAAATGGATGTATGATATATGTATATACTAATACCAGTACTATACTAATATATATATATATACATATATAATTATATAATCTATAAATATATAGATATGTAATCATATATACAGACATACTAACCAGCTAAAGAGAATACAGGCTATCTAAGATTGATAGGCCATCCTGATCCTGATGTCGACCTGAGGAAAAGCTGGTGCCAACCAGCCCCTTCAGCTGTCATGAAGAGGAGGAGGAAGAAGAGGATGAAGAAGAAGGTGGGTCATTTGAGCGGCTACTAAACCAACTAAACTAACCATAATCTATGGATGTTTCACAGAATATCTTGAGATATAGTTGGAAATAATGGTAGATTAGGAACCAACTAAAAAAACTTGGGTCAGTGTTCAAAACCACAGGTTGATGATTACTTTGGGGGTTCACCGTTCACAATTTATATATTGGGGACTATCATAATCTATGAACTGGGGACCCATTCTTAACCAACCCATGCAATGGAATGACAGAGGCTTTCGAACATTGCCAATTTCGGGAAACCGACTGGATGTATCCTTCAAAATGGGGTTGAACCAGGCAAAAGTATGGAACAGATATATATATATATTATTATTATTATTATTTTATTAGTTATATATGAATATACTGTAGCTGATATTGCTTATAAACTCATTAGTGTGTGGGATCTCGCGAAACTGGTTGGATTCCCTATTTTGTACCAGCCAAAATGGAAGTTTAACCGACAAATTATGGGAGTTCTTCATCAAACATTGTAATTGCTCGACTTTTTCCACATCTTTGCTCCGTCAAAACACATAATTTTGAGTATCGGCACGGTCTAGGTACATACTACATACATACATACGTAAATTCATACAAACATCCATGCACCCCTCCATACCTCCATAGCTCCATACATCAATTTCTACATCCAGATATCCATGCCATACACCCACACTAGTAATCCAACCTTATAGAAGGATTATATCCAATTATCCAATAATTGATTGATTATGGTGTATAATCCAATTATATCCAATTAATGATTTATCAATAATCAAGTCAATAATCCAATTAATTCTTAGATAAATCCCCATCAATTCTGTCTCATTTTGGCAAAATGCCTTGAGACATCCAGCCAGTTTGGTTTACTCTCTGATACTTTGACCCAATTATGTGAAATGACCCATTTATACAGAATCACCTATTCAAAAGGGTTCGCAACCTGTTAGTCAAAGTATATCCCATTAAACTATCCTTATTTCTCCGTAATATGCCTGTAAAGTGTTCGTTGTTAGCCCTCCCATTTTCCCATGGGCTCCCACATACCCTGTGGCAGTCAAACATGGCTAGCTGGAAAATCCACCATTTATGGATGATTTTCCCAGCTATAAACCCCCATTTGTAGGGTTCCCTATGTTCTGTGATTTTCCAATCTTTTCCCAGAGTCTTCCGTATTTATAGGGGATTTCCATGGATTTCCTACATATCATGGCTATTCCAAGGGTTTTTTTTGGGCGCCAGGCAACCCCACGTGGGCACAAAATTTGAGCGGTTCAGAGAAGTGGCGCTTTCAGCTGGTGCCTTTGGGAAAGCGTCGTTTCAGGTGAGTGAAATATTGTAACTTACCCATATATATATATATATAGAGATTATGTGTATATATATATACACATACATGTGCACATATGTATACACATATTGTACAATTGTATATATATATATACACAGAGTGTAAACGCAATACACACACACACACATATATATATATATGTATATGTACATATTGATAAACTATATATGCAGGGCAATGGGGTTCACTGCGAAAATGTTGGTTTCATGGCTTCCAATGTTTTTGGGAACTTGCCTTGCTGGGTTTCTAGCCAGGTGTGGATTGTTTCAACGGGGTAAGCCCTAGTGAAGGATACCCTCTGGTAAACATAGAAAAAACTATGGAAAATCACCATTTTTCATGGGAAAACTCACTATTTTGATGGCCATTTTCAATAGCGAACTGTTAAACTACCGGAGGATAGTCATGTTCTTATTGCCCTTTGTATACCTACACGCGCAAATTAGGAATTGTCATGGAATTGTCATTCCATGATTCATGATTGGTGGCCAACATATTCCCAATTGGGTGATGCACTTTCCCAAATTGTTTATTTAAAACCGATTTGTCTGAACCAAGCCCAGAGCAGTTCCTTTCTGTTTTGCAGCCAACGGGTTTCCCAATACTTGAGGAGAACCCAAAATTAGAAAAACCAAGAAGGTAAACAAGATGGATATTTCCAATGAGAAAGAAACCAAGACAGTAACGACCCATCGTTTCCCGTATTTTCACTCGCAACATCCTCATCTTTGCTGGACATGATGAACAAATAAATAAACATCTTAGCCTTAGTTTTTCTAGAACTAAGTTACCCATTGTCTCGAAAAATCACGAAGCAAAATCCTGCTCATCATTTTTAAGTAGCATCAACCAACCAGCAAAATCAGATCCCACCTCTGATTCCCCAGCAAAAGCCAATCAACACCTCATAACATGCTATTATGATTTCCCATAAAATCACTGGTAAATCCTATAAAATTTACCCACATTTCTTGTCCAAAATTCCTCGGTCAACCTTGGATGGGTAGTTTAATTCTTTCATCTTTTGCTATGAATAGGAACATCTACTACTGGATGGTGCCCCCCAGTTATGAGTCTGTTTATAATTCCCATTAGATATAGTTATATCTACCATAAACCATAGAATTCAGCCGCTGAGAAAAGGCAATTCAACGCTATCTTGGGGGCCTCATCCTGTATTTCCAAAATTCCTCGGTCAATCATGTTTAATCCTTTCATATTTTTCGATCGATAGGAAAATCTATGAACATCTACCATGAATGAGGGTATCAATTATTTTCTAAATGATACCCTACCTTTCATCATTTTCATTTTAAATTTGTATCCTTCAGATGGACCATGCATCCACCACGAGGCCCGTGCCTTCCTACACGATCCTCATGTCTTGGTGGTCCATCGACCGGTCGATGAGCTGGACAGTGGCCTGGTGACTGACCAGGGTGACCAGGGTGACCAGTGCCATCTGGAAGTATATATGGCATATGTGAGGCCCCCGTTCGATAGCTAAGTTGGTGCGCGTAACTCCAATTTCACTATGGTTTATGGTACTTATAACGAATTAGTTACTGGGGCGAATCTAAACCAACTAACATCACTGGGGGGCACCACCTTGTAGATATACCCTTTGGTTATTTGTTACATAGCCATGGAAAGATCCACAATTTTTAATGGGTAAATATGGTGCCATTTGGAGAATATGGGAAAAAACGTTCGTTTAATGGCAAAAGGGTTGATTAGGAGAATATTCCTATAGCGAATGGGTTTATAAACCAATGGTTGATTTTTTATCGGTTACCCTCTGGTAAACTAACACAACTATGGAAAGATCCACCATTTTTAGCTGGGTAAATCCATTATAATACTATGGCCATTTTCAAAAGCTATGTAGCAAATAACCAGAGGGTACATTTTCTGACATTCTATCTGACAGTCCTTCTGACATATGCTCTGGCATTCTACCTGACATTTTATCGACCTTTTCAATGGCTAGAAATGTGTAGAATTATGAACATCTTACCTCGCTGGTTGGTGGTTTGGAACTTAGACGGGTCACGTCGTCTCAACGTGACGCGCGCAGCAAACTGGGACAAACTGGTGGTTTGGAACATTTCTTATTTTTCCATATATTGGGAATAATGATGCCAACTGACTAATATGCCAGATTATGAAAATCGTACCTCGAGTTTTTATCATGGTTTCATCATTTTCCCAGATTTGGGCAAAAATTTACCCGAAAATGGTGGGTATCATCTATGGTGGGCAAATGATGTTGCGACCTCACTGTTCTCACCACAAATGATGGGAATTGTGTGGTAACTATCCCAATATTGCCGAACTTTTCAAGTTAGTGACATATTAGTTTACCCAGATAAATGGTTAGTTTGGCTATTTCCAATTGCCACGTTTGACTACTGGAGGGTAAATAATATACTGTTAGATTTGGGGGTTTCTTAAGTCATGGGGGATCCCCAGTCGACACCATGGTTGTTTCAATACTAAGTCATGGTCATCCATGACGACTGGATGATTATTGGGGTGCCCCCATGGATTGCGGACTTTGATATATACATCTATAACCATGGCTATATGATCTACATTGCTAGATTTTCCGAGAATCAATGGCTCTATCAATGGCTCTATCACTGGCTCTATCCGAGAATCAATGGCTCTATAACCATGGCTATATCATCTATATAAATTTATAAATCTATAACCATTGCTATTTATAAATGGCTCTTGGAATTGTGGCAAAAAAAACTGGTTCTAAATGGCTCGACTTTCAAAAAGGGGCACCAAGATTTGGATCTGATGTCATCCAGCTATTTCGGAAAGATGTTTGTCCCATACTTGGATATAAAAGCATTCCGCATATTCCACGAATCGGATCCGTGGTCCATAATTTTTAACTAAACATATCTAAAACAAAAAACAAATCCCTGATCTAACTGGGGATAGAACCAGTTGAAATCTAACTGGGGGTATACCCTCTGGTAAACCAACAGTTCGCTATTGAAACCATGGCCATAGAAAGTTCGTTGATTCACCCCTTAATTTCATGGTGATTTTCCACCGGAGGGTAAGCCACTTTAAGCCACCGAGGCAACCTGAAAGAACTCTTCCTGTCGCTCTTCAGAGAGTTCGTCGACAAGAAAGGCAGCCAAGCAACTTCTGGGCGGCCAAGTAACTTCTTAGTAATAGTTATTACCAGTAGTACCGCACAAGGCGGTGGCGGAAGTTTCAAAAACAGAAAACCTATAGGAGAGCTTGGTTGTTGTGATTCACGGATGGCAGAGCGAATCCACTGATGGACTGAAAGGTGGTTGGAGTTGTGTTTGTTGGAATGGATACAATGGTTGCAGTGGACCTCACCCACAACTGCTGGATGTAGTGTGGTCTAGCGCAGCCTGCAGCTGTAGTTGTAGTTGTAGTGTAGTGGAGCGTGGTGTAGTGTAACTAGTGTAGTGTAGTTGCAGTTGCATTTGTGGTGGTGTAATGAGTGTAGTGTAATGTAATGTAGGGTAGTGTAGTCTAGTGTAGTGTAAAGTAGCGTAGTTGTAGTTGTAGCTGTAGTTAGTGTAGTGTAGTTTAGTGTAGTGTGGTGTAGTGTACTCTAATGTAATTAAAGTGTAGTTGTAGTTGAAGTTGCAGTTGCAGTTGTAGTGTAGAGTAGTGTAGTGTAGTGTGATTGTAGTGTAGCGTAGTGTATCGTAGTGGAGTGTAGTGTAGTGTAGTGGAGTGTAGTGTAGTGTAGTGGTGATTGTAGTTGAAACTGGTACAAAACCCTCACATTTTCCTCACTTTTGGCAAGGTGCATAAGCCCCTGCGCCTGCCACGCAAAACGACGCCTGAACGTCCAAAAGTGCTCCATACCTCTCATTTTTTGCACTTTTGACTTGGAAATGTGCTTCGCGCCACAAAGGCGTGCAATTTTTCGACATGTCAGCTTCCAAAAGTGGTCCGAGGTTGGTGTGTTTTGTACATTTTGACTTGGAAATGTGCTTCGCGCCGCAACGGCGTGCGACTTTTCATCTCTCATCTGGCCGGATGGCTCCGCACCTGCCGCTTTAGCGAGCGTACTTTTCGACCCTCCGGAACCACAAATCATTGGAAAAACATAGTGTTTCGGGACTTTCCTACCTTTTCTCACATCTGCATCTTAGTTGTAGTGTAGTGGAGTGTGGTGTAGTGTAATTAGTGTAGTGTAGTTGCAGTTGCATATTTGTGGTGGTGTAATGAGTGTAGTGTAATGAAATGTAGGGTAGTGTAATCTAGTGTAGTGTGGTGTAGTGTACTCCAATGTAATTAGTGTAGTGTAGTTGTAGTTGAAGTTGCAGTTGTAGTTGTAGTTGTAGTGTAGAGTAGTGTAGTGTAGTGTGATTGTAGTGTAGCGTAGTGTATCGTAGTGGAGTGTAGTGTAGTGTAGTGGAGTGTAGTGTAGTGTAGTGGTGATTGTAGTTGAAACTGGTACAAAACCCTCACATTTTCCTCACTTTTGGCAAGGTGCATAAGCCCCTGCGCCTGCCACGCAAAACGACGCCTGAACGTCCAAAAGTGCCCCGTACCTCTCATTTTTTTTTTGCACTTTTGACTTGGAAATGTGCTTCGCGCCACAACGGCGTGCACTTTTTCGACATGTCAGCTTCCAAAAGTGGTCCGAGGTTGGTGTGTTTTGTACATTTTGACTTGGAAATGTGCTTCGCGCCACAACGGTGTGCACTTTTTCGACATCTCAACTTCCAAAAGTGGTCCGAGGTTGGTGTGCTTTGTGCATTTTGACTTGGAAATTTGCTTCGTGCCGCAACGGCGTGCAATTTTTCGACATGTCAGCTTCCAAAAGTGGTCCGAGGTTGGTGTGTTTTGTACATTTTGATTTGGACATGTGCTTCGCGCCGCAACGGCGTGCAACTTTTCATCTCTCATCTGGCCAGATGGCTCCGCACCCGCCGCTTTAGCGAGCCTACTTTTCGACCCTCTGGAACCACAAATCATTGGAAAAACATAGTGTTTCGCGACTTTCCTACCTTTTCGCACACCTGGATCTTCAACCTTCTCAGACTTTCTCTTCTTCGATCTTCTTTCTTCTTCTCTTCACTTCTCTTCTCTTCTCTTCTCTGACTCTTCCCATCTCTGCATTTCATGTGCCCATATTATCGGCAGTTTGGCTTCTAAACTTCCTTCAACTATGGAAGATGATTATTTCTTTATGATGATAGTTAATACTATGGAAGACGATTATATTATGATGATGATGACTATAGTAATTCTATTTTTTGATAGTAATAGTCATGTTGATTATAGTTATACTACTGGACGATAATGATTATTATTTATGGTTCTAATTCTATTATTAATATATAGTTATGATCATATTACTTACTTGGAATGGAGGAATGGGATGACTATGAAAAAAGTTTTGGATTGGATCATTCCCCCAGGGCCCCTTACGTTTAGCACCAGTAAGATGTTGAACTTGATGTTGAGCGCGTGACGATGAATTTTGCGGAGAGTTTGGGACACAGCCATCTATGGCAACCCGTTTTTGATCTGCAAAATATCCCAGTTTTTATGGGTCCAAAAAAGAAATCCCTCAGTTTTGTTGCTGGAAGTCGACATTGTTGGTGCAATCGTCTTCTTGTTGGTGTGAACTCCTCCTTTTTTGTTGCTTCAAAGCCCCACATCTCAGCGCCTAATTGTTGTTGTCAGCCTGATTGTCAGCTCGCTAAATCACCTTAAATCATGGCGGAAAACCCCCGGTTGGGCATTTAAGACGGGTTGGTGTTAACATGTTGCAACTTTTCATCCTGGGATGATAGCCCCAATTGACTGTATCGCATATGATAGATGGGTTTGTCCGAATATAGGCTACCTCTGAATCCAGTGCATACCCTCTGTTAAACTAACGTAACTATGGAAAATCAACATTTTTAATGGGTAAATCAAAATAATTGTGCAATTTTCAATAGCTACGTTGAATTACCAGAGGGTATCATGTTCCAATTTTTCCGAACATGTCCGAGGCAACCGACATCATATCACGCTGGTTATATCACCCATTTCTCATTTCTCCCATGACCTGCGTTTCCTCAGCCCGTGGGTCCCTGACACCCTCTTCTGAACCTGAATTAAAACGTCATGAACCCCCACAATTATATAGTTGGTACTGTATATCTCCCCATTGTCCCCCATTGTAGATAGGTGGCTTATAACTAGATCAACGATTGGGTATGGGTCGAAATTGGGGACCCAAATAATTCGATGGCTAATACGAAACATAAACTAATATTTGTGGTCCCTTCTGAGTTGACCCACAGACAACTCAGCGATGGTTTGAGGGATTTGGGGTCCCACCTTGTAGATGGGTTGATGCCATCCCATGATATCCAATATATCGGGTTAATCATCACAACTTGTGGTATTCCCAATAAACAAAAAACCACACAGCCTGGTTATCAGTCAACTTCTCTATCATAGATCAATCACAAATTATACATCAACTTAGCTATCCTAGATCAAACTACAATGTCCCATGAAATCCACATTTTTCTTGCTCAAATCACCATTTTTCTTATGGTTTCATGACCATGTGGCGTCACCTCCGCTTGGAAAAGCCACTGGCCCCGGTGGCAGGTTTGGAGATGGACGAGGCCGGTCCCGATTTGGAGATGTCGAAGCGACGGCCGCGCACCTTGATCTTCAGCACGGGAAGTTCCACCTCTACGAACATCCCGGTGCGGGGGGGGGGGGTCACCATAGGAAGAGGCTGATTTTAGCAAAAATATGTAAAAATTGGGATTTCATGGGGGGGTAGCTGATTTATGATAGTGAAGTTGGCGAACATAACTCCAAATTGCCTTTGCCAGGGCCTATGGTTTGTGGTTCGAACTAGTTGATGGGGGTTGTAAGCCAACTTATACTTGGAGACCACCTTGTAGACGGTGGAAAAGGCCGGTGGGAACAGTTGAGATTCGGTGGAGATGGTTTTATGGGAGATTTGATGGTAAGTTTCGGAATTTTCCAGACCAGAGTTTGGGATGTTCCCAACATTCAGCCACAAGGGTTAACGTTGGTGTAAAAAGTTCATTGTAAACTATAGGTTCACCTACTATAAATAGTAGTTAAGCTAGTTCTAAACCACCTTAGCTCCGGTAATCAACGTGGCACGTGAAAATCCTCGCTGGCTATGTTTGACATGACACTGGTAAACTAACATAGCTATTGAAAATGGCCATAGAAATATTTGATTTACCAATTAAAAATGATGATTTTCCATAGTTATGTTGAAATACCAGTGGGAAAATATCCATTAGATCCCATTGAATCCCATTAAGTCACCACAAACTCCCATAAAATCCCATTAAGTACCCCCATGTTTGTTGGTTAAATACAGCGCAGGACATCATTTGGCGCATCGGTGAGAACGGTGTCACGGTGGAGCGCAATCGTCCCGTCGCCTCCGGGGCCGGCAGCGGCTTTGGCAGCGGCGTGCAGGGCAGCCTGCCGTCGGGGCCCGGGTCGATGGGGGTGACGGCGCCGGGCGCCCTCAACAGCTTCGGGTTGCCTGGAGCTGATGAGGTGTTCAGATTTTTTTCTTCTCCCCTCTGGTTATTAAACGGTTTGCTATGGAATTTTCGATGGATTAATCATCATAAATCATCTATATAGGGGCCATGTTCCATAGCTACCTTAGATAAGGATAGTTTTTTCCAAATTGAACAATATTTGGGTTTTTACTTGTCTTACTATCCCGGCAAGAGACCCCAAACAGTTTGTAGTTAGGATTCTAAAGGCGAAGGTGAAAAGGACCCCAAATCATCAGTGGCTCTAAGCTAGCAGGACAAGAGCGACCCTAGTAGTGAAAGCATGGTGTTCATTCAAGGTGGTCTCTGGAAGGAGGAAGGCGAGGTGAAGGAGGAACAGGAGGGGGCAGGGGAGGTGGAGACCTCAGTTGAAGCTAACCCGTGGCAAGAAGAGATGCCAGGTTAGATTCTGCAAGTTCCCTTTGCGAAGATCTCTGTAGAAGATCGTACGCAAGATCTCCTTGACAGGTTCTCTGTAGAAGCTGCTGTGCAAGATCCCTTTGTAAGGCTGCCTGTACAAGGTCTCTATGAGTCAATGAGAGATCTCCACAGAAGATCCCTGCAAGAGATCTCAGAATACGATCTCTGTTCAAGCTCTCTGCAAAAGATCTCTGAGCAAGATCTCTGTTCTCTTCACCAGGTCTCTGTACAAGATCTCTGGAAGAAGTCTCCTGGCAGGATCTCCGTACAAGATCGCTAAAAGAGCTCTTTTGGCAAGATCTCTGTAAGAGACCTCTTGGCAAGATCTCTGTTCAGATCTCTAAAAAAGGTCTCTTGGAAGATCTCTGTACAAGCTCCCTATAAGAGGTCTCTTGGCAAGATCTCTTTGTGAGATCTCTGTACAAGCTATCTATAAGAGCTCTCTTGGCAAGATCTATGAAAGAGACCTCTTGGCAAGATCTCTGCAACAGATCTCTACGCAACGTCTCTGTACAAGATCTGCATATAAGAGGCGTCCTGGCAAGATTTCTGTACAAGATCTCTATAAGAGGTCTCTTGGCAAGATCTCTTGGGGAGATCTCTGTACAAGCTCTCTACAAGAGCTCTGTTGGCAAGATCTCTGTAAGGGACCTCTTGGCAAGATTTCAACAGATCTCTATGCAATGCCTCTGTACAAGATCTCTACAAGACACATCTTGTCAAGATCTCTGCGTAAGCTCTCTACAAAAAACCTCCTTGTCAAGATCTCTGCGCAAGATCTCCTTGACTATACAAATGAGCACTGCACCACAACGAGAGCGATCCGACACGTCCAAAGTGCCGAGAGGGTTGCGGGAGCGATCTCAAAATTCGCACCGCGCCGCAGCGAGAGCTATCTGACAGGCCCAAAGTGCTAAGAAACTTGCGCGAACGATCTCAAAATTTGCACCGCGCCAAAGCAAGAGCGATCCGACACGTCCATCAAAAAGGGAAGATGAAGGAGTGTTTGTGCTGCAAGGGTCATCAAATTTATTCAATTTGCCGCCCATCCCGGAGACCACCTCGAATGAACACCAGGCCTTAGCTCTTACCGTAAGAACACCAAGTGTGGCCACATTTTTGGGGAAAAAGAACCAAGTGATTGATTTTTGTGCTTGCATTCTTTGCATTGTTTGATTTGTTGCGTTAAATCTTGGGTTTAGTGAACCATTGTCGTGGTAGACCCAATGGCATTTTTTTGATGGTATATATATATATAGTTATGACTTTTAAGACCCACCAAACGGATCCAAATGGATACACGGTAAGTCATGCAACAAACGAGAATGATGTATTACTATTTGGTTTGCCTACCACATTCATGTCAAGTTGCTGGGTCATTGATTTTGATTTCTCATTTATTCCATCATAATAACTGGGGCAACTACTCGGAACATGTTCTTGGATGGCCCCTGGATCAGCAAATCCGAGGTTGTCAATGAATTCCACGAGCCCGCGATGAAGTGCCTTGGGCAACGATGGAATTTTGTAGGGATTTATAGGGGTATAATGAGATAGAATCGGTTATGATGGGATTTACCTTCGGGTGATTTAAGAGTTGGCGATGGAAAATTACCATCCAAATAAGTAAATCAACGAACGAAATGGGCCATGGTTTCCATAGCAAACCGTTAAATCACCAGAGGGTACATTGGTTTTTCCAAAAAGTAGGGTACAGTTCATGGATATTCATGGCATTTCCTAAAAAGATGCTCGGACCACCCTAATCTGGAGATCCCAGTGGTGCCCGCAATGTTTGGGATTGGAGTTGTTTGATGCCAATAATATTCCCAGTTCTGACCTTTGCCCAGGTGAAGAAAGGTCAGGCACAAGCAACCTCCAAAGCTTCGCTGGGATTCATAGGAACACATTGCAAGAGAACTGCAAAAAATGGGTGGTTGAAGAAGGCCATGATTTTGACAATTCAAATTCTGCGTTTCTGCAGGGAGTGTGATCTCAACGGAGGGAACAAAGTTTTGTATGCAAAATTGCAAAAAAAAAACGTGGAAGGTAAAACTATTTTCAGTTTGTCCCAGACTGGTTGAAAGGGCAATTTGCACTAAACCTCTATATGTCAGTGAAAAAACAAAGGATTCCTCTAAAATTTCCTTTATATACACCTACAACCAATCCATTGATTGAAACAGCGGAAGTCTTGTACAACTGTCATGTAACACCACATTTCTGATGGGCTGAAATTAGGAAACTGACTCACAAATTGAAACTATTTACCATTATAATCATAATCATAACCTGATAGCATATAGATGTCCTTTTCCCACTGGCTGGTTGATTAATACAGCATTTCCCCTCCATTCAACAACCTTGCTGGTAGATGAGAACTAGTATACCAAACGGGCCCCTCTATTTGTCGTAAACGGGCAATAATGGGCTGATATGGAAAATAAATCAACAAGGTCAAAACATCCATTGATTCCAAACATCATTGGTATATTACTGTGAAGACACAACGAAAAACATGTTTTTTTGTTCAGATGTGGGTGATGGGAAAACCATGAAAAAACAATAGCTACTTTCCTCGAGTGATCCACACCTTCACATTTTAGCTGACATATATTCTGGCATTCTATCTATCTGGCATCCTATCTGGCATCTATTCTAACATTCTCTCTGACAGTCTATCGGGAATTCTATCTGACATTCTATCTGACATTCTATCTCACATTCTAGCTGACATTCTATGTGACATCTTGCGCTCGCAATTGGCATCCCGCAGTGCCCACTGAGATCTGGCTCTCGCAGTTGAGGTCCGGCAGTGCCCGCTGAGATCTGGCGCTCGCAGTTGGGGTCCGGCAGTGCCCACTGAGAT